CCCAAACTTTAAGTAGTTATTTAACATTTTCCTATTCATGTTTCTAGCCCAGTACTTAATAGGGTACAGAACACTTAGTTAAATAGTTCTTGTTGAATTAGTTACTGCTTACTGTGTGCAAAGCTGGACAGATGCCATGGACATAAAAAGATCACTTAGGGGGCGCCTGGGTGGTGCAGTCGGTTAAGCGTCCGACTTCAGCCAGGTCACGATCTCGCGGTCCGTGAGTTCGAGCCCCGCGTCGGGCTCTGGGCTGATGGCTCGGAGCCTGGAGCCTGTTTCCGATTCTGTGTCTCCCTCTCTCTCTGCCCCTCCCCCGTTCATGCTCTGTCTCTCTCTGTCCCAAAAATAAATAAACGTTGGAAAAAAAAAAAAAAGATCACTTAGGCCTTTTTCCTAAGGTGCTTATATTTAAGTAGCTTCATGAAATGAGTAGTTTGTGACCAGCATTTAAAAAAATTTTTTTTAATGTTTATTTTTAAGAGATAGATACAGCATGAGCGGGGAAGGGGCAGAGAGAGAGGGAGACACAGAATCTGAAACAGGTTCCAGGCACTGAGCTTGTCTACACAGAGCCCGACACGGGGCTGGAACTCATGGACTGGATGGTGAGATCATGACCTGACCTGAAGTTGGATGCTTAACCGACTGAGCCATCCAGCACCACCCCCCCCACCCCGGCCATGACCAGCATTTTTTAAAAGACATGAAATAGAAAATAATCAAAGAACATCACACATAGTAACAATAAGTGTAGTTTCATGAAAATTTTAAGTTACATAAATTTATGTATAATGGATTGTGACATACAATGTGTTTCTTAACTGTGGCTTGTCAAAAATTTTTGGAAGTCCCTATTTTAGGCGCACGTGATTGCTCCAAACAAACCTTGCTTTAAAAAGTAAGGAAAGCAGAGTGTTTAGATGATAGTATGTGTGGAAGATCATAAACAGACATGAGACTAAAATGGTAAAATTGAGCCTTGAATGCCATGCTGAAAAGTGGTGGTGGGGAAGATAGGGTTTATTGGGTAAGGCAAATATTTTAAATTTTTTGAGGACTTAATGTATTCATCTAGTTCAGAATCCAAAAAATAATACAGAACATATAGTGAAAAGTTTCACTTCCACCCTATCCTCTGCGGCCCCCCCCCCCCCAACTCAGTTAGTTCCTCTCTCCACAAACACTATTAGTTTGGGGAGTATCTTTCCAGCAGTGTCTCGTGTACGTAAAAACAACTGTGTGTGTGTTTTATTTGTTTTGTCTTTTTTATGTAAATGGTAGACCATGAACCACAGAGAGAGAGCGTGCAAGGGGGGAGAGAGGCAGAGAGAGAGAGGGGGGAGAATCTTAAGCAGGCTTCATGCTTAGTGCAGAGTCCAACACAGAACTCTATCCTGTGACTCTGGGATCATGACCTGAGCTGAAATCAACCGACTGAGCCACCCCGGTGCCCCAAAGATAGATTGTTTGTTTGTTTGTTTGTTTGTTTATTATTTCAATGTTTATTTATTTTGGGGAGAGAGAGAGAGAGCGCGCGCGCATCAACGGGGGAGGGGCAGAGAGAGAGGGAGACCCAGAATCTGAAGTAGCCTCCAGGCTCCGAGTTGTCAGCACAGAGCCCGACACAGGGCTTGAATCCAAAGACTGAGATCTTGACCTGAACTAAGTCAGACGCTCAACCGACTGAGCCACCCAGGTGCCCTGCACCAAAGATTTTTTAAAGTAGGCTCCATGCCCAATGTGGGGCTTGAACTCATGACCCCGAGATCAAGAACCGCAGTCTTCTTCCAACTGAGCCAGCCAGGTGCCCCTAAGGTTTTTTTTTTTTTTATTTAAGAATTTATTTTTAAGTAATCTCTGCACCCAACATGGGACTTGAACTCACAACCCTGAGATCAAGAGTCACATACTCCATTGACTGAACCAACCAAGCACCCCAGCCCTTTGTATTTTTTTATACCTATTATGGGATTTTTCCAGAACAGTACTAGAGCTTGATGAAAGGTTGTCAGGGAAGGGAAATGACTAGATCTGGTCTATATATGTTGAACAGTCAAAGTTAACTAAATTAGAGAAGCAGAGTGTTCTCTTCAATTTGACCTTCAGGACTCACCTTAGATCTTTAGATGCTCCCTTTCCTGCCTTTTTTTTTTTTTTGCCTCTTAACATTTTAAGTCACTTTTCAACTAAATATGGGGGAGATGGTAAAGCCCGGCTAAATTCTCTATTTCTCGCTATTCCCACTAGCTCTTCATTTTCTTTTGGTCTTTGGGATTCCACCTCTTTATCTCTTAGGAAGGCTTTTCTGACTTGCACCTATCCTAAGGAGACTGGGTTAGGGCCTTGCCTCTGTGCTTATCCTTACCATAGCACCTAACAGTGTTTTGTAATTATATGTTTTCTGGTCAGTTTTCTCCTTATGCTATAAGCCCCTTCTATGTGCAAGACACATTGCTAGTTGTAAGTATGTTGGTTTTTGAATATTTACTGTATTGCCTGGTTCAGAGCCCCCAAAACATTAATAGAATATGTGTATACATAAGCACATGATCTTTTTTTCTCATTAGGGAGAATTAGGGGATAGATATACTTGAAAAGGTAAAGTATTGACTCAGTGACAGATCACTGTGTTATGATTGGTGACAGTGCCAGGTGAGGCAGTTAGGGAAAGCTTATTGGAAGAGGTGGGACCTAGTAAGTCAGAAGGGAATATGATATCTTGTGTGAGAAATACAGCAGGAGGGGATGGGAGAAGGAGGAGTCGGAGAAGTACTGGAAATGGGAAATGTGCATAAGATGAAGTACAAAGAATCTAAGCAGGGAAATAAATGCTGACAAAATGAGTCATTCAAGAGGAATACCAGATACAATGAGATTACTAAAGGAGGAAGGGGGAGAATCCATGGAGAACCAATGTGAACAGAAAGGCTCATGAAATAAGCATAAATACACCCTAGGTATTTGTGGCCTACCCCAAGGCCACTTGGAAAGTGGCCAGGGGAGACTGAGGCTTCTTATTCAGCTGTAGCTACTGGATCTAATTGGCCTGCTGTTTCCTGGTGAGGTGCAGTGACTTTCCTCCAATGATATAAGTGGTTTTCTTTAAGGTTTCTTTTCATTTACTAATTTATTTACTGGACCTGCATGCTGGGAATGTGACTTAAAACTACGTATTTATAAAATTCTACTCCAACCAACAGAACTTGGAGTCAATTTTAATGGGTTTTCTGCCTTTTGTTGTGGTGAGGAAGGAATCTTGGTGTTATGTTTAAGTTATTACTAGTTGGAATTGTAGATTATATCAGAGTTCATCCTGAGAGTTTTTACCATGCCTGTTGTTTTAAATTTGAAAGCCTTTGATACACATAACAAGAAACTCATTGAAATCTGAAGTTTGTCCTTTTGGGATCTGAGTAAAAAAGGAAGACCAATTCAACTATTAGAATGAAGAAAAAATACAGTCATTTTGGTTATAATTAATGTTTATTCAGTTGTGCAAATTAAAAAAAATTCTGTATTTAAATATTCTTAGACTTAAATATTGGAGAAAAGTATTTGGTATTTACCTCATACTCTTATAATACCGCTAGCAGTAATGTTTCTATTGTTCTGCTTAGGATGACTTTCAAAGAAAGTACAATTAAGTTTTAATTCATTGGTGGTCAAAGTGCCCAACTCATCTGATAAACAACTGGTGAAATTGTTTTTAAAACTCAAAATGGAGGGCACCTTGGTGGCTCAGTCATTTAAGTGTCCAACTTGGGCTCAGGTCATGATCTCAAGGTTCGTGAGTTTGAGCCCTGCATCAGGCTCTGTGCTGACAGCTCAGAGCCTGGAGCCTGCTTCGGATTCTGTGTCTCCCTCTCTCTCTGTCCATCCGTCACTTGTACTCTGTCTCTCTCGCTCAAAAATAAATTAAAAATTTTTTTTTAAATCTCAAAATGGGATTCTGCTTATGAAAACAATGAACATTTTAAACAAGAAAGCATTTATATATAGTAGTTGTTACAAATTGGATGTCTCCGTAGGGGGAGAACTTGACTTGATTCCCTGTGTCCTTAACCTGAACAGTATATAATATAATAAATATACTGGTGGGGATTTTTTTTGGGGGGGGGGAGGGTGGTACATTGGTTATGAAAAAGTTCACCTGCATTCATATTTTATTTTACTTTATTTTTTTAATCTTTATTTATTTTTGAGAGAGAAGGAGAGACAGTGTAAGCGGGGGATGAACAGAGAGAGAGGGAGACACAAAATCCGAAGCAGCCACCAGGCTTTGAGCTGTCAGCATAGAGCCCAACATGGGGCTCGAACTCACGAACCCAACTCATGAACTGAGAGTTCATGACCTGAGCTGAAGTCAGACACTTAACCCACTGAGCCACCCAGGCCTCTTCCTTTGTGTTTTAAATGGATGAATATGGGGTGCCTGGGTAGCTCAGTCGGTTAAGCGTCTGACTTCAGCTCAGACTTCAGCTCAGGTCATGATTTCATGGTTCGTGGGCCCGAGCCCCACTTTGGGCTCTGTGCTGACAGTGCAGAGCCTAGAGCCTGCTTCAGATTCTGTGTCTCCCTCTGTCTCTCTGCCCCTCCCCTGCTCATGCTCTGTTTATCTCTCTTTCTCAAAAAGTAAATAAACATTAAATTTTTTTAATGGATGAATAAACTTTTTTAAATAAATTGATGTAAAAATATTAAAATAGTAAGAATTTGAGGGTTTCCTGGGTGGCTCAATCAATTAACTGACTCTTGACTTCAGCTCAGGTCATGAATTCATGGTTCATGAGTTCAAGCCTCACATGGGGCTCGTGCTGGCTGTAGGAGCCTGCTTGGGATTCTCTCTCCCCTCCCACCCCTCACCCATTCACACATGCTCTTTTTCAAAATGAAAAAAAATAAAAAAAACTTTAAAAAAAGTTCAGAATTTGATGTAAGTAATCAAGAAATCCCTACCCCATTTTTCTCCTTAAACAAGTATGTGTTTAATCTTGCAGGCTGTGGAAAATCTCTGTTCCTACAAGATTTCTGCAAACTTGTACAAACAGCTGAGACAGATTTGTGAAGATCACATCAAAGCACAAATTCATCAGTTCAGAGAATATCCTTTTAAAAACCAAAAATACTGTTTTTTTACCTTTGACCTCTTTTCCTATCCCTCACTATTTAACCCAACTTGAAGTGGAATGCCTGTGTTTTATAGATTTGTTGTTAATTTCATTTCTAGAGAAAGAAGAAACAAGTTTTTGACTTTTCAGCTTTAATTAGGTTCCAAATTTACATTGTAGTATAAGTTTACTCTTGTCCTAACAAATTTCCATTTTAAGAAAAAATAATCTGAGGGAAATCATAAACAACACAATGCTCACTTATATGTAAGAGTTGTTCTAAAAGGTATTTTTTTAGTGGGATCTAAAACTTTTTTACAGTTTAATAGCATTTTGTTCTATAATAAGACAAATGTGCTCTTCTATTGCTTATTACTTGTACTAAGCACTTAAAAATATCCTTGACATATTTCATGGATTCATTGGATAGTGTTCTTTTTCTAAAGAAGATTGATAGATGCTGGCAAAACCACTGCAGACAAATGGTAAGCTGGAAAAATATTGTAGTTAAATACATTTTTTCAAATACATGGATGTTTTAAAAGCTTTGCAATGTTTGGGGGATAGCCTCAGTATCTGCTCTTGTTCTGAATTGAAAACAGATTTTGTTTGAGTTTTCTACTTTAAAACTGCTAGTTATAGGAAGACCACAAGTTTAGAATGATTTGCACCTTAGGATCATTTTTATTTTTGTCATGCGTAAACTAAAAGTATTTATATGACTAAAAAAAGTAACATTTTTGTCTGTTAGTCTTGATGGATATCCCACCCACCTACTTGATTACCTGTGAAGGTGCCTGATGCATTTTAGTTTATTCAGATCAGAACTTTTTCCTTTTCCCTAATCGTATTTATTTTATACCTTTTAATCGCAAATTAAAAATCTTAAAATTCCCGTACCCAAAACCCGCACGTGCAATTTAAGGCAGTTTCACTCTGAATGGCCACTGTTACTGAAGAAGAATTGCATGTGTGTCTCCTTGATTCTGTTTTTATTTTTGGTTACTTCTCAAGTTGCAGAGAAGTCATAGGACCATTCTAAGTGTCCCTTTTCTAGAAATTACAACAAGGATTAAGACAATAGAATAGTTTAACAGAAATGGCATGGGCATATTCTCAGGTAGATTTCTTTATCTGTGTGTTTGATTCTAGTAGTTTATGTATAAAAGTGAACCCTGCAATTTTATTCTTATTTTATCAAGAGCAAATATTTCAGCTTAACAAAATATAAAAATTGGTTTTCTTTTTCATTGGCAGATCATGATTAGAAGCATTTTTTTGTTTCTGGATAGAACTTACGTTCTTCAGAATTCAATGCTACCCTCGATTTGGTAAGAATGCCAGAAAAAATTACGAAAAGATTTGTTACAAATGATAGTTAAATCTTAATTACACTAATGGAAAGAGAGTAAGTGATTCTGTGAACATTCTCCTAAAAATTCACATTTGGCTTCTAGACTTGTATTTATAGCAGTTTTACCTTCTTAATTAGTTTTGCCTATGTTGGAGATAGCTTGCATTCCTTGAGCATATGATACTTTATAAAGTTTTTTTGTTAGCCAAGGGATTAAAGTTTGCTCTGGACTATCTTACGAGTGTGCATTATTTTGTTGCTTATCAAGAGTTTGCTCATTATCTTTTAACATTGTTATGGAAAATTCCATATACGAAAATAGAATAGTATAACGAGCTCTTTCCCCCACCATGTGCCTAGTATCTGCCTGCAGTAATTATCTGGAGAGTTTACTGATTTTTGAGTACTGAAGCCAGATTACAAATGACCAATTAGCCTTCATTACCAGTACAGTGAAAACCATTTTATATCTTTGAACTAATTTTGTCTCTTGATTTGACCAAGGAAGAAATCCACCAAAGGAAATAATACAACCGAACTTAGTTACGGAGGAAGACAGGAATTTAGCTTCAATTCTCATTAAAGGCGATGATTTTCCTGTATACTTTAATAACGTTATGTAAAATTAAATGTGTGGATTTTATCTTTTCACAATTGCTGCTTCAAATCTGGGGCCCTCATTAACGTGGTGAGAAGTTAAGCAGGTTTCTCTAGAAGTGGTATTGTTGTCAATTAATTATATATGTTTTTTATTTTAGGGACATGGGACTAGAGTTATTTAGGGCTCATATTATAAGTGATCAGAAAGTCCAGAATAAGACAATTGATGGCATTCTTCTCTTGATTGAGAGGGAAAGGAATGGTGAAGCAATTGATAGAAGTTTACTCCGAAGCCTTTTGAGTATGCTGTCTGACTTGCAAGTAAGTTAACTTACTTCACTTACAGAGCTGATTGCTATTCCTAGTTTGATGTTTGAAAACCAGATTCATGGTGCTATTCACATAGAGGACATTTAATAAGTATTGAATAAATGAACTCGTTTGTTTTGATTCCCCCCCCCCCCCAGATTTATCAGGATTCTTTTGAACAACGGTTTTTGGAAGAAACTAACCGGCTCTATGCAGCTGAAGGCCAAAAATTAATGCAGGAAAGAGAGGTACTTAAAAATCATGATTAATAAATCCACTGTGTCTCATAATAGACCTTACTTTATAGAGCATAAGCTGCCTTTTGCATTTATCTTCTGAACATTGTGACGCTTTTCTCTCACTTAGGTTCTCCTTTCTTTTCTCTCTCCTTAAAGGCCAGAATTCTGGATCATAAACTACCTATAATTTTACATGTTTCAGTCCTGTCATTCAGGGCTGTCCCCAGGGTATTTTGGATTTGACATTTTCTGAATGATTTATGGGGAGGAAAACAATAATATGAAAAACTGTCTTTGTAGGTTCCTGAATATCTTCATCATGTTAACAAACGTCTAGAAGAAGAAGCAGACAGACTTATTACTTACTTAGATCAGACCACCCAGTAAGTATTATATGCTCAGTCTAATAGACTTTAACCAGTGTTGTTGAATCACTTAAGGCACTAAGCATCCCCAAACCTGTTAGTACCCATCTTCAGGTGTGATTTGAGATTTTTAACAATTGTTTTCTTAATGTAAACTTCAAGTTATTTTTCTCTAGTTAATTAGATTTAATCAAGGGTTGTCTGCATGTGTTAAGGATGTAATTTAAAAATAGTATTAGAGAGGTGCCTGGCTGGCTCAGTTGGTAGAGCATTCAACTCTTGATCTCAGGGTCATAAGTTTCAAGCCCCACATTGGACGTAGAACTTATTTTTTTTTTTAATGAAAAAAACACTAGGCTGATTAAAATTCAGTAGGTATGGGGCATATGGGTGGCTCCATTGGTTAAGCTTCCAACTTAAGCTCAGGTCATGATTTCATGGTTGGTGAATTCAAGCCCCACGTCGGACTCTCTGCTGTCAGTGGGCTCTCTGCTGTCAGCGCAGAGCCCGCTTGGGATCCTCTGTCCCTACCCCTCTCTGCCGCTCACGTGCGCATGCTCTGTCTCGCTCGCTCTCTGTCAAACATAAACTTTAAAAAAATCAGTAGGTGTTTGGAGGAGAAACTGTTTCTGTGCTTTCCTAAATATTAACCACCAAGGAGTTCCTGTAAACAGCATAGATAATTACCTTCCTAATAAAAGCAGAGAAACTTGGAAAAAGCCAGCCACGGCAAGACCATGGAAATACTTATTTAGTGATGTAAATCAAATTCTGAAATAATGCACTTTTTCTTCTTGCATAAGTAGAGTGCCTCTGAGCACCAATAAATTTAAATGTAGGATAGGAATATTAAAATTATCATAAAATAAGCTATATGTGATTTTTCCACCCAAAGAAAGGTTTTAAATTTTCAGGAAAGTCCATTGGCGGTAATTCTAAACTTTTTCTTTCTTGTAGGAAGTCCTTAATTGCTACTGTAGAAAAGCAACTTCTAGGTGAACACTTAACAGCAATTCTTCAGAAAGGTAATTGACAATTTATAAATAAAGAGATTACATTTTAAATGGTAGACGCAGACAAGTAAAAAATTTTTAAGGATTACCCTTTTAAAAGCTTGATGCTGTGTGGCTGCTTTTCTGAGGATGGACAAACCCCTTTTCCCTATTCATCATTGTAAACTTTCAGGAGGTGCTTCTTGCCTTAATTTAAAGATACAGGAACTGAGGAGGCGCCTGGGTAGCTTAGTCAGTTAAGCAGCTGACCTCGGCTCAGGTCATGATCTCACGACTCACGAGCTCATGGGTTCCAGCCCTGTGTTGGGCTCTGTGCTGCAGCTCAGGGCCTGGAGCCTGCTTTGGATTCTGTGCTCTCCACCACTCCCCAACTCACGCTTGCTCTCTCTGTCTCTCTCAAAAATAAATAAACATTAAAAAAAGATACAGGAATTGAGAATGAGAGGGGTCCACTAACACCAGCAAAAAAAAAAAAAAAAGGCAGTGGGAATTCTTGACTTAATTTGTAAGACTATGGTAAGATTCCTTTTTACACTCAGGTGTTTTTATTCATAGCATATAAAACCAAGCACTTCTAATCCCAGGTGATCTTGAGGGTATACCCTGAATTTTATTTTGACAGTGCCAGAAATACACAATAGTCTTACCTTTCTCTCCAACCACCTTTTGTATAAAATGGATATATTTTAGAACTTCAAAGCAGTTACATATTATTTCATTCTGAAAATCAAATACAGAACCTCATTTAAACTTGGCCTATTAGGGGTGCCTGGGTAGCTTAGTTGGTTAAGCATCCAACTTCGGCTCAGGTCAAGATACCATGGTCTGGGAGTTCGAGCCCCGTGTCGGGCTCTGTGCTGACAGCTTAGAGCCTGGAGCTGGCTTCAGATTTTGTGTCTCCCTTTCTCTCTCTGCCCTCCCCTGCTCGCATTCTGTCTCTCTCTCTTTCAAAAATAAATAAACATTAAAAAAACACTTAAGCTTGGCCTATTAATGCATGGTTTTTAAAACACCACAGACTGTATCCAGTACTCTGAAAAATATGTATACTAATTAGTGCCAGATATAATACGGCTTCCACACACATGTGCGAGTTATTTATAACGTATATTTAAGTAAATCACTTATTACAAATTGGTTTATACCTCTGATCTATGCTAAATGGAACAAACTGTTGCATAATTATTTTTGTTTTTATATAGACTAAAGCTCCCTGTATTTAGTTTTCATTTGGAAAGGTGATTTATCTATTTGGATTGACTAGAAAACAAGTGTCCGTTAAAATTCATAGACTAGTAATAGTTTAGACCACTATTACATTAATAATTTAACTTAATTTTCATTAAAATGTCTGACATTTTTGGTAACTATTTTTAATGCTAAAATATTTGAAATTCCAGGTTTAAATAACCTCCTTGATGAAAACCGAATTCAAGATTTATCTCTCCTGTATCAGCTCTTTAGTAGAGTTCGAGGTGGAGTTCAGGTTCTCTTGCAACAGTGGATTGAATACATTAAGGTATTAACAATTAACCTGTGTTTTTTTCAGCTATTATAATCTATGCAGAATGCATATCAGCAAGTATTTCTTGTTAGATCCAATTTTTTTTAAGTAATGGGAATTTTGAAGGCAGTAAACCTGAGAATGATAGCTGTGTAACAGATCAGCAATAAAAGTTATCTTCCTGATGTCTGATATGATTTCTAGCTTCAGTACTTAGAATAGTGAATGTGGGGAGTGGGGGCAGGCAAGAGGATTTTTGTTTGGATCCAAAATTTCTTTCCTTTCTTCAATTTTACACTGAAGCTAGATTGCTATTTTTTAAAAAAATTCAAACCTGACTTTAAAAGTAGGAACAAAAGCCCAGAGACTTACAATAATACTCCATTATGATACCATATACCCAGTAAGTCATTTCTTATTTTGTGACTGTAGATGAATTGTATCAGTCTGCATGTTTTATCACTTTAGTTTTTTCTTTTCCTGACCTCAAAAACAGCTTTACTTTAATATTTTGATATTTTAAAATGTGTGTACCTACTTAAAATATGATTTGTGGATTGTTTTCATCAGATAATTCTGCTAAAAAGTGGTCATTTTTATTTTTAGGCATTTGGCAGCACTATTGTAATTAATCCTGAAAAAGATAAAACCATGGTTCAAGAATTACTGGATTTTAAAGATAAGGTTGACCATATAATTGATATTTGTTTTCTGAAAAATGAAAAATTCATCAATGCCATGAAAGAAGCATTTGAGACATTCATTAACAAAAGACCAAACAAACCTGCTGAACTTATAGGTATTTTCCAGTATTTTTTTTCTGGCTGTTTAATGTTCTTTTATTCATAAAATTTCAATTAATTTGAAACTTTGACAAGGTTGTAGTTGATTCAACACCTCATTTATTTGCGGTTGATTAGGTGGCAGTTTCTAAGAACCTTATTCTAAGGAATAAGTCCTTCGAGGTAAAGAACATAAGTCACATGTCAAACATGATGTTCTGTCTTGGTAAGATCGTACATTGGACCCTATTTACTTTTATTTACACTAAGCTTGATATCTGTTTTTTAAGCCTGTAGCAATTTAGAGGTGGGACAGGGTGCTACTTCTAGAGGCCCACACTTAGGGCTACAATAAAGTCTAGCAAGAAATTATAGTTGCTAGTGAGAAAGGAAAATGTCCAGGACAGGGGCACCTGGGCGGCTCAGTTGGTTAACATCCAGCTCTTGATTTTGGTTCAGGTCATGATCTCATGCTTCCTGAAATTGAGCCCTGTGTCAGGATCTGTGCTGACAGTGTGGAGCTTGCTTGAGATGCTCTCTATCCCTCTCTCTCTGCCCCTACCCCATTCATGCGGGCACTCTCTCTCAAACTTAGAAAAAACGCCCAGGACAAAAATAATCTGGTCATCTGGGTCCATTTAGTGTAAGGATATGATATATGGCAGTGTTTCTCAGGTTTTCCTACCAAACTACCCTTTAGTGTCAGGAGAGGTACTCTCTGAAGGTTTAGGGTCCTCTGCCAAAGGGATGAAGTTTCGTTGATCTACTACTTACCTTTAAATTTTTTGGCAGATTTTGCCTTTTACTCTGTGTCTGGTTTGTTTTCATAAGTAGCGTTTTAGATTGCTTGACATCAGTATAAAATGGACACTCAGAAGATGTGCCAGGTCTTTAAGTGGCTTTTTTTGGAGATGTAATTGCCATATGTTCTATTAGTTTCAGATGTACAGCATAGTGATTCAACATTTGTATGCATTGTGAAATGGTCACCACGATAAGCCTAGTTACCATCTGTCCCCTTGTGAAGTCAATACAATATTTATGGACATTATTTATATTCCCATGACTTATTTTATAACTGAATTTGTGTTTCTTTATCCCCTTTACTCATTTTGACACCCCCAACCGCCCTTCCTCTGGCAAACACCAACCTGTTCTCGTATTTGAGTCTGAATTTTGTTTTGTTTTTTAGATTCCACATATAAGTGAAATCCCATGGTATGTGTCTTATTTCTGTGCCTTAATTTCACTTAGTGTACAACCCTCAAGATCTGTTATGCAAATGGCAAGAGTTCATTCATTTTTATGGCTAAATAGTATTCCATCACACACACACACACACACACACACACACACACACACACACACACACTCTCTCTCTCTCTCTCTCGCTCTCGCTCTCGCTCTCTCAACCTTCTGTATCCATTTATCCATTGATAGGATATTTAGATTGTTTCCCTATCTTGGCTGTTGTAAATATGCTGCAATGAACATAGGGGTACATGAATGTTTTTGAATTAGTGTGTTCATTTTCTTCATGGTGGAATTGCTGGATCATATGGTAGCTCTATTAATTTTTTGAAGAACCTCCATAATATTTTCCATGGTGGCTGCACCGGTTTACATTCCCACCAATAATGCCCGAGGGTTACCTTTTCTCCAAATCCTCACCAACACATTTTTTTTTGTCTTTTTGATACTAGCTATTCTGACAGATATAAGGTGATATCCCATTATGATTTTGATTTGCATTTCCCTGATGATTAGTGATATTGAGCATCTTTTCATGTGCTTTTTGGCCATCTGTATGTCTTTGGAAAAATATCTATTTAGGTCCTCTGCCAATTTTTTAATTAGATTTTTTTTTGTTAACTGGGTTGTAGGAGTTCTTTATCTATTTTGGATATTAACCTCTTATTGGAAATTGGTTTTTCTGTATGGTGTAAATCATGGTCCAGTTTCATTCTTTTGCATGTGGCTGTCCAGTTTTCCTAATACCATTTATTAAAGAGACTGTCCTTTTTTCCCATTGTATGTCCTTGCCCCCTTCGGCATGGATTAATTGACCACATAAGCATGGGTTCATTTCTGGGCTATTTATTCTATCCCATTGATACGTGTGTTTGTTTTTATGTCCACATGATACTGTTTTGACTAGGGATTCTTTTGGTTTGTTTTTTTAAATATGGAACGCTTCACGAATTTGCGTGCCATACTTGGGCCATGCTGATCTCTGTATCCTTCTGATTTTAGTATATGTGCTGCTGAAGTGAGCATTGATTACTCTAGTTTTTTTTAATGTTTATTTTTTAAAAGAGAGAATGTACGGGCATATGCGTGTGGTGGAGGGGCAGAGAGAGACAGAATCCAAAGCAGGTTGTGCACTGACAGCTGGATGTGGGGCTCGAACTCATGAGCTGTGAGATCATGACCTGAGCTGAAGTTGGTTGCTTAACTGAGCCACCCAGGCGCCCCTGATTAATGGTTTTGCAGTATAGTTTAAAATCAGGAAGCATGATGATACCCGTGGCTTTGTTGTTCTTTCTCTAGATTAGCTATTTGAGATCTTTAGTGGTTCCATACAAATTTTTAAATTATTTGTTCTAGTTCTGTGAAAAATGCCATTGGAATTTTGGTAGGGATTACATTGAGTCTGTAGATTACTTTGGGTAGTATGGATGTTTTAACAATAGTAATTCTTCCAATCCATGAGCACAATATATTTTTCCATTTATTTGTATCGTCTTCAGTTTCTTTCATCAGTATCTTACAGTTTTCCACATACAGGTCTTTCACCTCTTTGGTTAAATTTATTTTTAGGTATTTTGTTCTTTTTGTTACAGTTGTAAATGGGATTGTTTTCTTGAGTTCTCTTTCTGATAGTTTAGTATTAGTGTATGGAAACACGAGACTTTTCTATATTTTGTGTCCTGCAACTTTACTGAATTCATTTGTTTTAATAGCTTTGTGGTGGAGTCTTCAGGGTTTTCTATATACAGTGTCATGTACAGACAGTGACTATTTTACTTCTTCCTTTCCACTTGTATGCCTTTTATTTATTTTCCTTGCCTAATTGCTGTGACCAGACTTCCAATATGATGTTGAATGAGACTGGGAATAGTGGGCATCTTTGTCTTGTTCCTGATCTCAGAGGAAAAGCTTTCAGCATTTCACTGTTGGGTATGATACTAGCTGTGGGTATGTCCTATATAGCCTTTATTTTGTTGAAGTACATCCCCCTACACCCACTTAGTTGAGAGTTTCTGTTATAAATGGCTATTGAATTTTGTCAAATGCTTTTTCTATATCTAATGATGATCATATTATTTCTCCTTTCATTTTGTTAATGTGGGTGTATCATGTTGATTGGTTTGTGGATGTTGAACCATCCTTTCATCCCTGAAATAAATCCCACTTGATCACTGTGTATGATCCTTTCAGTGTATTGGGTTTTTTTTTTATTTTAACAGTTTTTATTTTTTTAATGTTTATTTTTTGAGAGAGCGCAGGTGGGGGAGGGACGGAGAGAGAGAGAGAGACAGAATCTGAAGCGGGCTTCAGGCTTTGAGCTGTCAGCACAGAGCCCGACATGGGGCTCAAACTCACAAACCGTGAGATCATGACCTGAGCCAAAGTCGAGACTCTTAACTGACTGAGCCACCCAGGCACCCTTCAGTGTATTGTTGAATTCAGTTAACACATGCAAGCTCATCTACCTGTACTAGTAAGCTATGTGGAAAGTGCAGTGATGATTCTAGCACCTTGATCTTCAGGGAGTATATTACCTGTATCTCTTTGCCCCCAGATCAGCAAACATATCTTCCACGTATAGTCTAGGTGCTTTTCAAAAGGCTGTTTTTTCATTGGGTCTTGAGGTGAGCCAGGCTACAAGGGAGCCCTTCAAGAGGGGAATCCCCATTTCCTAGAGTACTTTGGGATCCCTGGAAATCACGTCTGTTGGTTATTTAATAATTTTTTAAAATGTTTATTTTTGAAAGAGAGACAGCACAAGTGGGGGAGGGGTAGAGGGAGAGAGAGACAGGATCTGAAGCAGGCTCTAGGCTCTGAGCCGTCAGCACAGATCCCAACGTGTGGCTCGAAGCCACAAACCGTGAGATCATGACCTGAGCCGAAGTCAGTCGCTTAACCCAACTGAGCCACCCAGGTGCCACAAAATCTGTTGGTTTTTTAAGTCAGATGTTCCCGGGGCTCATCTCTCTGCTGCAAATCACTGAGGCCAGGGTGCCCGAAGTAAGGCACCAATCCCTTGTTCCTCCAAGAGAAGCACCTGACTGGTGAAATCTTTCCCTATTGTGTGTTACAATATCGTGTCTCTGCCTCTCCTACCCATCTTGCTGTGATCCTTTTATCCTTTGTTGTAGAGAGCAGTTCATCCAGTTTTCAGATGTTTTTCAAAACAAAATGCTCCATGGAGCTGTAGCTGGGGTCTGTTCATGGGAGGAAGTGAGTTTAGGCTGTTATGCTGCCATCTTGGACCCCCCCCCCCCCATCATCAATGTTTTTGATGACTCCAGCATGGTACTGTATACACTACCTCCCCCAGGATACATATACCCCATTTTACTAACCATCAGGATAGTGGAAAGTACATGAGATACGGAGCCAGAAAACTTGGGTTTGAGTTCAGGCTCTGGTATTTATTAGCTCTGTGATGTTGAATAAGTCACCTGATGTCCCTGACTTTGGAGACTTTAGAAATGCATGTATATCTCTGAAGCATTGAAAAATTCAGTGTATCATGCTCCTATTTGGGTGTATATAGTGCCTAGTATCTTACGGATACTAATGATCACTAAACAAACTTTCCCCCCATTTTAGCTAAGTATGTAGATTCAAAGCTTCGCGCAGGCAACAAAGAAGCTACAGATGAAGAACTTGAAAAAATGTTGGATAAAATTATGATCATATTTAGATTTATCTATGGTAAGTGTTTTTGCCTTAAAATTTATCTTTTAGAACAGAGCACTCAACCTGGAGGGAGTATTTGGGAGTTAGATATTTAAATTTGTATTAGATTTGTTGCATTTAATTCATTGGGGTACTTGTGGAATATTACTTAATTGCCTTGTGCTTTGACTTTTCCACTTATTAAGAGCCTTGATTTTTGCTACTTTTTTTAATCTGTTAATGCCAAAGCCACCAGTCGACTAAAACTTTTTTAAAGAAAAGTTAATGTAGTCTTCTTTACAGCAAAGAACATTTGAAATGTCCAGCATAAATATCTACCTCTAATGTCTGTTGCATTTAACGAACTTGGGTAAAATGTATAAATTTAAATAACCTGGAGTAATGGTATGATTTATTAAGCACTTGGGAGCAATTGTGTCAGAACTTTTTATTGGAAACTTAGCTGTATTTTATTTTTTTAACATAGGTAAGGATGTTTTTGAGGCCTTCTATAAGAAAGATTTAGCCAAGCGCCTGTTAGTTGGGAAAAGTGCATCTGTAGATGCTGAAAAATCAATGTTGTCCAAACTTAAACATGGTATGATTGTCATTCTTTCTATTCCTTTTCTTTGATTTCTGAGGGACAATGCTACCTTAATTTTTATTTAATTACTTGCCTCTTTCGTTAATCATTATTCAGATGATGAAAATGTAAATTGAGTAAGTTTATGAGGTTTCCATCCTATTGTACATATCCAAAGCGGTTGCAGTTTTTTAGAAAATAAAGCATTGTTCTTGTTTTTATTATTTGTATAAATATTTTCCATTTATCTTATGCCTAAATAGTAGATAAGGTTACTACAGGATTAAAGAGTTTGGCTCTGAATTAGTGGGGCATACACTTTGGGGTAAGGATTTTTTCATTCTTATGAACAGTTACAGATCATATTTCATGTTAAAATACATTTTACATTTCATGTTTTCAATTTTCAATTGTTTGTTTTCACCACTTTAAAATATTATAAATGTATAAACATCTTTAATAGAATGTGGAGCTGCTTTCACCAGCAAACTTGAAGGAATGTTTAAAGACATGGAACTTTCTAAAGACATCATGATTCAGTTCAAACAGGTAAAAGTGAGTTAAACTCTTACTTAATTTCTCAAACTTAAGTGTATTTAGTTATTTCCTTTCTGTGGTTTGCACTGAAGAGGATAAATAGGAACCTACATTTGTTGTAAATACATCATAGCAGCTTAGATGATGTTCACATTAGAGAAATCACCAATGGAATATATTTGACCTACTTCAGAATTTATTCCCAGTATACACCCAGGGTAACACAAAAGCAAATAAAATGCATTGAACTGAAGTCGGGACAAGAAAAACTGTAGCTAGATCGTGAGAATGGGGCTTTCTCTAACATCCAGTCACTGTTAGTGATTTATATGTTCAAAGCTCGCAATGGGGAGAGAGGAGATTCAATAAAATGGTTGTAAAAGGCCTTTGGAGCCATTGGGAATGAAAAGCTTAGATCCACGGTTTTGTAGATGTTGGTTAAGATGATTTTGAAACATTTAAGAGCATAGGTAATAGTGATAGCAAGTTAAATTTTCCTCTCAGGGTTTTTGTAATGGCTTCTTTACCACTATATTGCTATGGTGGGAAATGATAGTGGACAACACAAGAGAAAGAGCAGCAGGATCACATTCCCATAGTAGTGGCAGAATAGGGTTTATTTGCTTTGCTCTTTCCCCTTCGTCTTCCTTCACCACTTCACGTTACCCCCTGCAAGCAGGCAGTGGAGCACGTGAAAAAGTGGATACTTGGGCTGGCTGGTGGGGTGAGGAATGGGGGTTGCTACAAGTTGTTCAGGTCACATTAGGCGTCTCCAAAGGTGGGGACTGCAGGTGGTAGGGGGAAAAGAATGGACATGAGATTCTACCTATAACAGCCTAGCCATAAGTGAGAGATTATTGAAGTCGATAATGCCTCTAATGAGGTCACATGATCCTTGTGTGCCTTTGTAATAAAATGTTAGCTAATGCATTTGATAGAGGCTTCGTTTATAGTCCTTTTATAACAGTTCCCTTTTATTTTAAAGATGGTCAGTGTTGGCATGTAATTTTATAATGGGGAACTTCTTGAATGGGCTATTATTATGACATGAAATGTATGCACTTTTTTAAAGACCTCATTGTGTGTGTTGATCTTATTGTAGTATATGCAAAACCAGAATGTACCTGGGAATATTGAATTAACTGTGAATATCCTGACAATGGGTTATTGGCCAACATATGTGCCTATGGAAGTCCACTTACCACCAGAGGTAAGAGTTGCTGTTCAGGACTTGTGTTATAAGCACAGAAATACATAACACTTCTATTTTGTTTGTCATTGAAAAATAGATACTTTTTAAAGGTTTGTGTCAGCATGCCAACACCAAATGCCAACTGTTTTAATATTTTGCTCTTCCTTTTATTATTCTTGTACTTACATCGTTAGAGCATAGTTAATGATGTCAAGTTTCTGGGTCCAGAGCCAATTTTCATGACTCTTTTTTCAGTTTTCCAGATTGCACCCATCTTTCTGCCCAGCTCTCAAAAATTCTTGCCTATATATCACCTGGGGGTTGGATTGCTGAGTCAATGGGCTTGAGTAAATCCATCCTAAATTCTGGGGAAATGTCTTAACTCAGGACTGAAGCTTAGAAGCGGGGTTAAAGCTAGAGATAGATATTGAGAATCCTTCATGGAGATGATCATGGAAGCCAAGGGGGTCGAGATCTCCCTCATTAAGAGGAAAAGAATGTAGAAATAGAAAAAAATAGGGCTGAGACAGAACATTGGAAAAGGTTCACATCTGGCAGGTGGTAGGAAGAGGAAGGAAACCAACAAAAAAGCAGTCATGAGGTAAAGGAAGCAGCATGATATGGAGGCACAAAGCCACTGGAGGGGAATGTTGCAAAAGGGGGGGTGTTTAAATGTTGCAGAGAGATCGAAGTGTATAAAGGCTGATGAATGCTATTAGATTTGGTAGTTGGCAGATCATTACTTTACATCAAAGTGATCAGTGGACCTACCAGGTATAAAAACTGATACTGAAAGCTTCCAGAAATTATTATACATGAGGTGAATAGAAAGAATGGTGAAAGCGATACTGGATACAGAGCTTAAATAAAGCTGTGTTTTATTTACTGTAGATGGTAAAACTTCAGGAGATTTTCAAGACATTTTACCTAGGCAAACATAGCGGCAGGAAACTTCAGTGGCAGTCAACCCTAGGACACTGTGTGCTAAAGGCAGAATTTAAAGAGGTAAGTAGATGTTCCCATAACTTAGTGTTCATCTTCATTTTTGTTGTTGAGGTCATCCTTTTTTCTCCTTTAAACACTTTTTATTTGAGTATAGTTGACACACGATGTTACATTAGTTTCAGGTGTACAACATAGTGATTTAACTTCTCTATACATTATACTATGCTCACCACAGAGGTCATTCCTTTTAACTTGACGATTTGTTTTACAAGTTTATCCTAAATATATAACAGTGACTGCTTTGTGTATATTATTAAGAATGTGGTCTTCATGGTTGAATTGGCTCTGCTCTAAAACCACAAACAGTAACCCTTTTGTTGCCATCCTTTCCCCACCTGTGGATACAGGATTCCCATTTCCACTTCTTGACAGGAACCTTCTTGTTGCTGGGAGCTAGGGAATAGAGTGGATGTAAAGGAGAATAGTTCCATATCTAATTTCAAAAAATTCCTGCAACTTTTCATGACTAATTTGAATCTAACAAGTTGAAAATGCATTTGAAATAGTGATTTCTTGCTGCTTTTTAAAAAAAATCTGAAGTGATGCAATAAGGCCAAGTTATTAATGTTCGTTTTTTTTTTTTGAGAGATAGGGACAGAGTGCGAGCAGGGGAAGGGGAGAGAGAGGGAGACACAGAATGTGAAACAGGCTTCAGGCTCTGAGCTGTCAGTACACAGCCTGACGTGGGGCTCAAACTCGGGAATGGTGAGACCGTGACCTAGACCGAAGTTGGATGCTTAACTGACTGAGCCACCCAGGCAATAAGGCCAAGTTATTAATTTTCATTACTTTGTTGTTCTGTTTTAATTACAAGACATTTTGAAAAAGACCCATAGAAAGGTCACCCAATCCTTCTTTTCTATTTCAGGTAGGATCACACCTAAACCCTACACTGAACGTACTGGCTTTTCTGTATAATGTTAATCCACGTTTCTAAATCCACTGAAGGAAAAATGCTTTTCCTGTTAAAGATTATTGATGATTTGATTAATTTTCATGTGTTTTTTAAAAAATGATGGCTAAACTCTGCTGTTTCTCCAACAGGGTAAAAAAGAACTCCAGGTCTCTCTCTTTCAAACCCTGGTGCTGCTAATGTTTAATGAGGGAGAGGAGTTCAGTTTAGAAGAGATCAAGCAGGCTACTGGAATAGGTTTGTGTTGAGTCAATCAATTAGCAAGCATTATTCAGTGTCTGCTGTGTGCATTCCGCTAAGGTTAAGAGCTCTGGGGGGATACAAAGGAATAATCCCTCTTAGCACTCATAATCATGGGGAAAGGGAAAAATCACATTTGTAATAATTTCACAGCCAATAAGTATCAATCTGTGGGGCTGACTAGGACTGTGTTAAGAGTTTAGTGAAGCAAGAAACGTCTGTGGGCTGGCATAATTGGGAAATCCGTCATGAAGGAGGTGATATTTGAGGTGGCCTTCAAGTTTTAGTTAGGGAGGTGGCATATGCTGCCAGGGGAGATAGTGTGAGAAAAGTCTTGGTAAGAATGAGCACAGTGTGGGCAGGATTCATGAAGAATGTAACTGCAGCATCGAATAGTGAGATAAGGGTAGGTAAGATGAATAGAGCCTGATCATGGAGAGCCTTGAAGATCTAGCAAATGAAACCTACGTTGTAGGGTCTCAAGTATGAGACATCATGAAAGTGGCTTATTTACACAACTTACCTGGAATCAATAGACAATAGGGCAGCTTGGAGGATGAAGAGATGCCAGTCCAGAAACTAGTCAGGGTAATTCAGGCTTAAACCGATAAGGGGCTTCAATTTGAATGAGGCCAACGAGAATGGAGAAGAGGCATCTATCTCTAAGGAAGCAGCTACTAGGTACATGAAGGAAAAAGGGGAAGGACAGTTAAAAGATGATGCCAGGGTTTCTCACCAGAGTGCATTGGTAGTTTCAGGACTAACAATTAGAAAGAATATACAGTTTTATGGGGAAGATTATGAATAAAATTTTAGACATATTGGAGTTGATGATAGTTAAACAGCCAAGTGGAGGTGTCTTTTGAATGTGGGACTAGAAGGAAGTGAGATGTCATTTCTGAAGATTTGGTAGTTATTCACGTGGAATAATTGGAGCCTTTAGGGAACCACAGGAGAAAGGTCATTGGATAGGGCAAAGAGGAAGACCTTGACCTTGGGGAAAAAAGGAAACAGTTTTAATCGAGGGATGGGGTAGAAGCTAGATTGAGATGAACGTAGCTGTTTATGTTGATGAGCTAGTAACAAATAATCCACTATTTCTTCTTCAGAGGATGGAGAATTAAGGAGAACACTGCAGTCATTGGCCTGTGGCAAAGCTAGAGTTCTGGCAAAAAATCCAAAGGGCAAAGATATTGAAGATGGTGACAAGTTCATTTGTAATGATGATTTCAAACACAAACTTTTCAGGATAAAGATCAATCAAATCCAGATGAAAGAAACGGTATCTCTTTTGCATTCTCCTTGTCCTGATGCACTGGAATTACATGTATTCATAATAAAAATGTATAAAGAATGTTTCATACCTGTACTATTGGCACTAACGTTTTCTGTGCTTATATTTAGCTCAGTATATTTCAGTACTTGATCTTGCAGTTTTTTGGGGTGGGGGGGAAGTACACACAACTGGGCCTGATACTCAAGATAGTTCTGTATTCTGCTTTTTTTGCTTAACATTAAGTCTTTAGAATATTCTATGCCCTTAAATATCTTCATAAAATGTCAAGTGGCTACACAGTGTTCTTTTACATGGCCATTATAATTTATTCAACCAATGCCTGCTGGACGATTAAATTCTTAATTTCTTAGTGCTGTAAACAAAACTGCCAGAAATATCTTTGTACTTTAATCTCTCTGAGACTTCCTTTATGATAAATTCATGGAGGTATGTATTTTTTGGGTTAAAGAGTATGAACAGTTTAAGAATCTTAAAACTGATGTTGTATTGTGTTCTAGAAAGACTGGACTAATTTATACTCTGTCTAGCAACAAGAATGCCTGTCTTACTGGTGCCCTCACCAGCAGCACTAAAGATTGTTTTACTTTTTAAATCTGCACCAATTTGCTGGGTGAAAACTCTGGATGATTTAGTTAGTATTTCTTTGATTAACAGTGAAGTTTTTGTTTCTGCTATTTGAATTTGTAAGGGACTTGTATTGTGGAAACAAACAACTGCGGCATTTCCTGACATCATTTGGTTTCAGTTCCAAAGGTTTAATGCAGTACATGAGGAAAAATTTTAATGTGAGACAGAGGGCAGTATCTCAGACAAGTTCCTGTTTTATACACATTCACATCAAAGGTGTCATATTCCCTTAGAAGATTACTGTGTCCTTTTACAGCATTTATGCTGTATCAGAAAGAAATGGGCTGCAAAAAGCCCAAACTCTTAGGTGATAAAGATGAACATTTTTGCCTTAGCATTAAAATTGATAAACTGACTCATAACCTAAATTTCTGGTGGTTTTGAACACTATAATAACTTAACACTGCATTTCTGATTTATGTATTATAAAATAATTTTTAAAAAGTTTGACTCCAGTTAGTACTATAAGTCAGAGATCAGAGTCCATCACTTCTACGGAAAAGCTAATGTCATACAGAAATCTGGTCAATAACCCCTTATGACACATTAACCAATATTGGCATTACTTCATTGGTACAGGACAATATAATTAGGACAGAAAGGTATTGTTTTTACTGTCATCGTCTGTATTTGTAAGCATTCTGTAAATAATTAAATATATTTAAATCATTAATTAACAGTATGTCATGGCCCTAAAATTTTCAGTTTGTGTAAGCAAATTTCACTTCAGGTGTAGTTCCTAAGTTTGAAAAAATTTTGTTGTTAGGTTGAAGAACAAGCAAGCACTACAGAAAGAGTATTTCAGGACAGACAGTACCAAATTGATGCTGCAATTGTTCGAATCATGAAGATGAGAAAGACGCTTAGCCACAATCTTCTTGTTTCAGAAGTGTACAACCAGTTGAAATTTCCAGTAAAGGTAGGTACTTGTATATTTTTGTATTGAGCTTGTTACATAAAAAGAACATGTTAGATTTTCAGACACGAATCTTTTCTTTTAAGTTTATTTATTTTGAGAGAGGGAGAGAGAATCCTAAGCAGACTCTGCGCTGTCAGTGTGGAGCCCAGCGTGGGGCTCAAACTAACAGAGATCGTGACCTGAGCTGAAACCCAAGAGTTGGACACTTAACCAACTGAGCCACCTAGGCGTCCCCAGACATGAATCTTAAAAACATAGATTGATTTCTCCTGCTCATATATCTGATTCCCCCCCACAAAAAAACCCTTTGTTATCATATGTGGATAATGGTGACAACAGGGAAAACTATTTATAAGAGCTCTTCTTACACCTGAAAGTTTAGCTGCTAAATGCAAAATTTTCAGGTTCATTCACATTATCTTTTGATCTTGTTTTATTTTTGTTTATATTTTCTTTTTGAACTACTTTGATATTTTGACAGATTTGGTTATTTTCAGTTATATCTTGTTTTATTTAGCTTATGTAAGTGTCCATTAAAAACTATTGAGACACGGGTTCCTGGGCGGCTCAGTCAGTTGAGTGCCTGGCTTCAGTTCAAGTCATGATCTCACTGTTCATGAGTTCAAGCCTCGCATTGGGCTCTGTGCTAACAGTGGGGAGCGTACTTGGGATTCTCTCTCCCTCTTGTCTGCCCCTTCCCACCTCAAAATTAATAAACTTTAAAGAAAAAATTCTATACAGATAACTAGCCATCATTAGGCATCTTTTTGAAAAGTTTAGCAGTTCTGGCAACCTGAAATTGGTCATTAAATGGACATGTTCCAGTGTAGATGTTCAATATTAAAGAGGCTTAGACAATGTGGTGTTTTACTGGCCTATTTTTCAAATTTTTTTTTTTTAGAAGATTTCCAAACCTTTGTTATGATAAAGACTTCATAGAGTTTGGATAAACTCTTGGCTCTTGAGATTCTCATGACCTTTAGGCTTAGGTAAATCACTTCGTCTATGGGGATAATCTATTTAAATCGTAGGTTTAGGGGCGCCTGGGTGGCTCAGTCAGTTGGGCGTCCGACTTCAGCTCAGGTCAGGATCTCGCGGTCTGTGAGTTCGAGCCCCGCGTCAGGCTCTGTGCTGACCACTCAGAGCCTGGAGCCTGTTTCGGGTTCTGTGTCTCCCTCTCTCTCTGACCCTCCCCCATTCATGCTCTGTCTCTCTCTGTCTCAAAAATAAATAAATGTTAAAAAAAAAAATTAAAAAAAAAAATAAATCGTAGGTTTATTGTGAGGCTTAAATGAGGTATGATATATGTACAAAACTTATTAGCTTTGGGCCTGGCATGTAGTAAGTGCTCATTAGCAATTAATGCTAATAAGACAGGCTTTCTCTCTTCTCCAAATCTAATACTGCCTTCTTGTTACCACACTCTTACCCATATGCTCTGCCTTACAACCATTTCACCTCCAGCCAAAGAGATCACTGGTGCTACGGCAATTAAAGGATTTCTGTAATACTGTTTTTTGGCTTCCCCATCAGACCACTTTCCTTCTTCAGCCTTCTCAAGTGGCCATTTTATGCAATCTGAAAAACTACTAGCAAGATTACATTTTTTTTAATAGGCTAGATACAAAAGACAATGAGATTTTGTCATCCAAGAGCTAAGAATGCAAACATGAGAACAAGTTATAAGCTTTCTTGATTTTTCAACCATAGGTAGAGTTCAGATATCCAAATTGTTTATAGTAGATAACAGGTAAATCTTAAACCTGAAATACAGAGACCTGAATAATGAAATGGTAATTCACTTATCAGACCATTTGTTGTAGTATTTTTGTAAATAGTGTTTTCTGCAGTACATTTTTTAAATCTTAATTTATAAAAATACAACCTGACTTTGAGAACTACCTTTTGCCCAAATTTAAGGTCTACTTAGTCTTTTCAGACTCTCTTAGCAAAACTAAATAGCATTCTGGTTTCCTAAACTGTAATGTATTCCTCCTGTGAAGTTACGATGTTAGTCTTTTGTATTTGTGCAGAGAAGAGCTGGTTCTTTTTTTTTTTAAATGTTTTATTTATTTAGAGAGAATGCAAGCAGGGGCGGGGCAGAGAAGGGAGAGAGAATCCCAAACCCGTGCTGACAGTGCAGAGCCTGATGCAGGGCTTGAACTCATGAACCGTGAAGTCATGACCTGAGCCAAAATCAAGAGTTGGACACTTAACCAATTGAGCCACCCAGGCTCCCTGAAAATAGCTGGTTCTTAAAAGACTTCCTTTGGGTTGCCTGGGTAGCTCAGTCTGACTCCAGCTCAGGTCATGATCTCATAGTTTTTGGGCCCCGTGTCGGGCTCTGGCTAACAGTTCAGAGCCTGGATCCTGCTTCAGATTCTGTGTTTCCCTTTCTGTCTCTGCCCCTCCCCCACTCGTGTTCTAGCTCTCTTTCTCAAAAAATTAAAAATAAACATTAAAAAAAATTTTAAAGCTATCTTTAAAATAGAAAAGTAACAGTATTGTATAATGATATGACAAGATGTGACAGTATATGTATAGTATAAAAACATTTCTTAATCTGGTTTTATTTTCATTATATTTTTTCTCTTTAAAAAAGTAAGGAGATAAAATACATTAAATTAGTCAGCCAAAAAAAATTTTTAATGGGGTGTTGGTACATGGGCTTGAGCCAATGATGATGAGGTTTGCACTGAAAATTTGCCTTCTTTTACAGCCTGCTGATCTTAAGAAGAGAATAGAATCCTTAATTGATCGGGATTACATGGAAAGAGATAAAGAAAATCCAAACCAATACAATTATATTGCATAAACATTGGCCTCTGAGTATTTGGTATCATATACAGTAGCAGTGGATAAACTAACCTGTTGATCCTATATTATTTGACTTCTTTTATACTACCAATGACCAAATGAAGCAGTGTAATGGAAATAGTTGAGTCGACTTTTTCAGTGGTTAACATGCCCATTTAAAGAGTTAATACTTAACCTTTAAGAAGAATGTTGTTGAACTCTTTGCATGTTATTTAGTATGATGTGCAGAAAATTCTTAAGAAAGTACCTGGTCTTCATGATTCCTCTTTGGAACTGGGGAAGAGGTCCCTAAGGCTATTAAAAAAAAAGAGGGGGGGTTCTTATACACCATTAATTATGAAGCAAAAGGTTTATTTGCTTAAAATGTCATTTAAAGATACTTAAACTGCATGCAAACTTTATTTACTGTACAGAGTTCTGGATGTATTTATCAAATAGAAAAACCACCCTGGACTTGGTTGTTCACATGTTTTGTGATTTCCCTTGAAAAGAAAAAGAAGTTGTCGTACCTATTGATATTTTACTAAGTAATGTTCTGTTACACTGAAAGGGATGTTTAAAAAAAACTTATTTGGAAACAAGTTTTCAAGTAGAGGGACAGTTGCTTATGTAATCTCTTGTATATACACATCCTAAGGTGTTCCATCTATGACTGTGGGATGTGTGTATATGGCTTAGCCCTGAGTTTACTGTTCTGATTAACAGGTACTTATAAAAATAGCTGAAATAGAAAATTGCTGATCAGCTGTACTGGAAGATATGGTAAGAGAGAAAAAAAATCCAACTCGTCATATGAAAAGTGAATACAATATGAACATTGCAAAAGAGACCAAAACCCATGTGTTTTGTAAATTTTTACAGAAGCAAAAATCATCAACTAGTTTTCAACTTCCTTTAGACTTTAATGTTGTTTGGACAGTTTTATCTTTAACTTGGACCAATTGTTAGATTGTTACAGGCTTCCTAGGATTTAGCATTCCTATTTTCTCTACCAAAGTTTTTTTGGGAAGCACCCCAACTCCTTTTTGTTGCTAAATAAACCTTTCATCCTTCTTCTGACTTCCTAAAGATCTAGATATAAAGGTCCTCTCCCTTTGTTTTCCCTATATACCTCCTAGTCAGGAATTCCAAAATCTGTATTATGTTCATCTTACTCCTTTCAAAATTTCTTGAAGAGTTCTCATAGCCAGCCACTGGACATCTACTTTTCAGGGGAATGTCCTAGGATTGTTCATACATAGAAAATAGCAAAAGTATTGTTATTCAAATTGGTAATGTGAGTAAAAAGGCTTCTCTGTAGCATCGGTTGGTTTTTTTTGTTTTTGTTTTTGTTTTTTTTTGTTTTTTTTTTTTTTTTTTGTTTTTGTTTTTTGCTTGTTGGTTTTTCCTTGAGAATTGATCTTGGAGGAGAAGCAGAAAATTTGTTTGGGTTTTTAAAAATCAGAATTGCTTTGATGTTTTTGGCAACAGTAGATTTCGTTGACTATTTGGAGCCATTAGAAAAAATACCTAGATCCTAACCATCAACTGAGGAGACGTTTGGCTCTTGTGTCTACTATTGTTTTCTTGAGTTCTCAAGACCTGTGACCAGCTGTTACTAAAAAGTTGCCTGTTTCTCTGATTGCATCAACTTGCACACTGTTAACAATATGTGGTATTTAGAATGCCTTCCTGATTATTTTTGAGTGTGGCCATTGTCTATATTTTCTCAGCTTCTCCCTGGTTTCCTTGCATGAGCTCATCTGACAAGGAAATGCAGTTATTTTGTTTGTCCTCTCTCCACACTGGACCATCTCTGTCAGTGTTCTAACTCATCCCAGGTGGTCTCTGAGATACACAGACTATCTCACAAGACTCAATAGTTACTCTTAGGGAACTTCTAGGTAGAATTGGTCCCTGTTAGGAGGAGACTCTTGGTGTCACTTTTGTTATCTTGAAAGCTGGTCCCTTCCCTGAGGCTCTTAATTTTTTGAAAACTTGATGCTGTTTCAACTGAAAAATTGGCAAGACTATTAAAAAAAAAGTTGAAGGGAGCTGTTTAAGAAATTGACAAGTAATTGCAAAAAACATTGGGTAATTGTGACTTTCAGTTGTTCTGTATCAGTTAAATTTTTGTGCTCTTTTCCCTGTGTACGTGGTGGTTCTATTTTTCTCCAATAAAACTTTTATTTAAAAAAAGTTTCTGGAGAAGATCTTTAAAACTGAAGTATTGTAAGAAAGTTATGAAACCACAGAACTTTGCATCTTCCTAATGACTTCATGCATTCATATTTGTCAGTTTTGTTATTTAAAATTTTCTCTTTTTTATGTTTGTGGTGGTTTGGTGATAATGCTATAGGAATGTGAAGGAGGGTGAGTCAAATTCTCAGGAATTCTCAAGGTGAGTATTTATTCTTAAGTGTCAGTATTGTAGAAAAATCAAGTGCAAGTATAAACATGGTTTCATTCAAATTCTCAAAAGTTTAATAGTTTCATAAAGTCACCATGAAACTAGATTTACATTGAGGGAAGAATAAAAGATAAAATACTTTCGTTTTTAGTAACGGCACTTGATCTTCCTTTTCTATTCATATGAATTCTAGGTCATATACTCTCACTGTTACGATGCTCCTCAAGAACCTTACCAAGCCAGGAATCAGGAAGCTTTTTTGAACCCAGTTTGTGAGTCTGCTGAACAGTCTTAACATGAGGTCTTGCCATACTCTTGAAAATTCTTATCTTTGTACATGTGTGTACAATTCAGGAAACTAGTTGATGCTGTTTAGGCAACTGTGTCTCAAGATTCTCAAAAGCTTGTTTTTTAATCTTAGTATCCATACATCTTTTTTTACATTAGCTGTTTTTTTTTTTTTATTTTAGTGACCATTCTGATTTATGCTGTGAATGGCAGGACGTGTTATAAATGTGTTCTGTTCCATCATCTACATAAAATTGCCAAAGTAAATTGCCCATTAAAAAGAAAAGAGCAGGGGTGCCTGGGTGGCTCATTTGGTTGTGTCTGACTCTTGATTTTGGCTCAGGTCATTGGCCTCTATGGTGGCAGCGTGAAACCTGCTTGGGATTCTCTCCCCCCACTTCTCTCTGCCCTTCCCTCACGCTTGTGCTAGCATGCTCTCTATCAGGATAAACGAACATTAAAACGTATTTCTATGTATTTTGTTCTTTTTTTGATGCTCTTGCAAATTGAATTGTTTTCTTTATTTTTCAGATTGTTCATTGCTAGCACATACAATTTTTTTAAATCTTATTTTTAAGTAATTTCTATACCCAACATGGGACTCCAACACACAACCCTGAGATCAAAAGTTGCATGCTCTACTGACTGAGCCAGCCAG